TATTTAATGTATTTAAATTTTAGTTTGTAATTTTATGTTTGTTCAAATTAGTCCTTAAAATAATATTTTTATCCTAAATTAGTCCATAATTATAACTATTTTTTAATTTACTCAAAATCTTGTACAATTACAAATTACAATTCGATGTTCATGAATGGCGTAAAATATTTAATCCAAAAATGGTCCTACCTGAAGTCCATTTGTACTCGATAAGATGTTACCTAAATTTTAATTGTCAATGATGTAACCTGATCTAATCGAAATTAAACCAAAAGTCCATCTAAAACTGAATTAACTTGATATTTAACTGGTTCATACCCAAACCATTTTTACCTGAAGTGATATCAATCCGAGCTGAAATTAACTCGACTTGAACCTAAATTGAATATGATTTCAAATCAACTTGAAAATGACTTGAACTAATTTAACTCGGGCCCGACTTAATTTGATTCGAAACATTCAATTGACATGACACAATCCATATCTAATCTAACCTGATCTGATATGATCTAACTTAAAACCTGAACGATTACCTTATTTCACATTCTCAGCGGTCATTATAGAAAACAGAGACCCACCAAGAAAAAATGTCATACTCTGTTGGAATCTCGCAATAAAAAATTATAATATTTTTATTCTTCTTTTATAATTTATCTTTTATTAGTATCAACTTTTATCAAATCAAATTGTTCTTATAGTATCTTTTTATAAAATATCTTTATATAAAAAATATTCAAACACAAACATATACCCTAAAACTTTAAACCATATGTAAACATAAATCATAAAATAAAATTGCCATACCCTAAATTAGGGTCTAAAATTTTCTTTAAAAAAATTCCGATAACTAAATTGAAATTTTAATTAAATTCAGGGACTAAAGTGAAATTTTGATTAAATTCGAATCCAAAATAAAAAATTATTAAAAAATGGTATGCCTATGGCATGATTTTGCCATTTTTTAGGGTTTATATAACCCCAAATCTAGAAAGTTTCCATTTGAAAACAAAATTTCCTCTTTTCAAACATTTCCTGTTATAGAAGGAAACCTTTGATCGCCGATTTGTCACCGAACATTACTCCGTTTTTTACACTTCCCGTACCATCGTATTCCTTGCGTTATCCCGAGTCCTACGGTGTCCACTTTGTCTCTGTTGCCGCCAGCGTGTGAAGGGGTGAAAAAGATTAAGTTTTTGTTGTTTCGAAATCGAGCTCTCTGTCGTTCACCGTTGTGAACCGAGCTTGGTAAGTGTCTCAAAACCCCTTAAATCGCAATTAGGATTTTTTTTTTAGAATTTTTTCAACTCCCTACGGCCCCGCACGCACCCCACGCGCCACCCCTACTCATGGGGAAAGTCCACCGACTGGTGGACTACTTGAAAATGGGCCGATTTGACCTGACCCACTGATCGAACCCTTTGACCCGTGTTCGAACCGACCCAGTCCGACCATTGACCGTTGACCGATCCTTGACTTTGACCAAAAAGTTAAATTTTTTGAAATGTCATAATTTATGTTTTTCGACATCTTGAGTCCGATTTCGTGATCCATTTTGCCAAACTCTCTCCCGAAAGCCCCGAATCGAGCTCCTTAACCAAAAATTGCTTAGTATTTTTAGCATTTTTGCTTATTTATTTGAGATTTGGTTATGGAATTGATCCAATAAGATATTTTTATGAAGGTACTAGTGTTTCACCTGACTGAGGGTTAGTTTGATCCATTGTTTTCCGTCCATTAGATTCGCACGATCCGCGTTCCTCGAGAGTTACTCGTAGGTGTATGTAAATTGTTTAAATAGAGGTTATTATTATTCATATTAGGATTTTGATATAGATTTTCCGATTCGTAGGATTTAACACTGCCACTGATCGTGATCGACAGACTCAGTAGTAGGCTTTCCTATAAGATTACTCAGACATGTACAGGTGTGTTCCTGATGCTGTTACATTATTGTTTTAAACTATTTATCTGAACTATCTTAAAATTTATGACGATACTGAATGTTTTTACGAAATGATGCATGAATTTTCTGAATATCGTCTATCTGATGTATGATTTACTGCATATTGCTGATATGATATCTGATTTCTGTATTTCAGCATATGATTTCTAAGTATGGAATATTTTCAAGTTTTACTAAATTAAACAACCATTTTCACTCGAATACATACATATTATTATTGTCATTGGGGGTATTATTGGAGGAAGTATCTCAAGCATAGTATATGACTTGTAAGTCATTATCGTAAGCTCATCGGCTTTGTTCTCAGGGTAAGTCCTTACCGTAGGCTCATCTGCTTTGTGCACAGGGTAAGTCCTTACCGCAGGTCCTTATGCTATATGTATAAGGCCTTTACCGGGTGTACAGGTGCGTGTACGATTCTGGGGAACCTACACATTTTGGTAATCGAATAGGGGTAGTGTTCATATTTTTTTTAAAACATGTTTGATAAACTGATTTTACTAAAGTATTTTATTTGTATGTTTTTATACACTGTAAGGAGAACATTGAGTTTTTTAGCTCATTACCGACTTCTCCTGATTTTATATCACTGTATATTTATATATGTCTTTCTGTTATATTTTGGTGACATGTGTTTTTGCTACTATGTTGATATATTTGTATTAATGGTATTTTGATATGTATATGTTTTATACTTTTTTCGGACATATGTATACAAATATGTTTATCGTATGAATATTTCTTATGGATTTTAATGTTATTTTAAAAATGAAAATAATTTTTTAATAATATATGTAACCGCCTAGATTTGGGCATAACGTCCAGGCTGGGTCTAGGGGTTACAAAAAAAAAAAAACCCTGAAACTTAACTATGTTCTAAAATACCATACTTTATATCAATCAAAACTTCAACCATAAATACCACTCTATCACTCACCATATAAAACCATTAACAATTTATTTGGAAAACCCAAAAACCCACTTTTTATTTATTTTATGCCATTTACTTTATTTTTTTAATTTCATATTACATAAAATATAATAATTGTATCTTATATAATATTATTTACTTTATATTTTATTTTAAATTTATAACTTTTAGAATCAAGTAACAGTCACTTTCAAAATAAATAGTTTTTCAAAGATTAATTTCTTTCTATATTTAATATGTAATTCACCCTATGGGTGTTAAAAAATTATGTAACCCTTAATGTTAAATAGTTTCGGTTAATTGAACCGTTAAACATAATAATTAACAATTATGGTTATAAATTTTGATAAAATATTAATCAACGACTAACATTAATAAATTAAATTTATAATTATATTTTTTTAGGGAAAATACTAATAAAATTAGAAGTAAATTTTGGCCATATTCTTAAAATTTATCGGGCAATCTTTAATTTTACAGCTTCACTCACTCTCCACTCTTTAACAAAACTAGTCCCTACACTCTATCACTTAACTGACTATCGCCGTCACTGATGGCCTGCACGGTTGAAGACTATTTCTAGTTTATATATTTTTAATAGAATTTGTATACAAATAACTTAATATATATATTTTCTATTTTCTATTATTTTTAATTTTTATTTTTTAAAAAATACAAAAACATACTTACACAATATAATATGTGTTTATTATTAGATACCAAGATATTGAGAGATGTACATACTTATATCAGTGTGAGTATGTATTAAGTGTTATAATTTTTTATTTTATTCATTTATATTAGTGTAAGTATATATTAAGTGTTACACTTTAAAATATTGTGTGTCACACTTGTAATTGAACCATTAATAATTATTAACTATTTTTTAATGATTATATTACGGTTAAAAAAATTTTATAACCCTAATTCTACTTTTCTTTAAAAAAAAAACTCAAAATATGTGTATAATTCAATTTTGATTTTGGGAGCAGTTTTGGGTGGAGGTGCTTCTAGCACACAACGTTTTCCGTCGTTTTAACCACAGTGATCAAAGACGTTGTGGACTAGGAACGTCTTATTTAAGATGTGTTTAGATGATCGCATCTTTATCTTATGTGATCTAAATGAGTATAATTTCTCTAAATAAATTCATTTGGATGTTATTTTCTTTTTTAAAGTAATCTATTAATGTAGTAGCTCATCTATTAGTTAGTTTTTTGTTTTGGTCACCTTACTATTTTTTAAATTGTACCTAATATTACATTTTTTATTATGTTTTGGCCATTCACTATTAAAAAATTAATAGTGATTTTGACATATCATTATAAGGTAATATCACATCAATATTAAAATATATTTATAAAAATGTCATGCCAATATCACTAGTAATCTTTTAACGGTTAGTAATCAAAGTGAAACTAAAATGTAACATGAGTATGATTTAAAAAAAAATAATAGTTGTGATGAAACTAGAAAGTAAGTAATAAGTTGATGACCAAATAGGTGATTTACCCGTTGTTTAAATAGATATCCTTAAAATTAAATCTTCAAACTTGGAAATGAACAAAAACAAATATACATATCAAATCATGTTTATTTATTTGGTTGACTTAGTCTTCCATATAAAAGAGAGAAAACGATCAGTAGTAGTAAATAAGGCAGATGGAAAGGTCAATTCGCCAGCTGACATTGATATTGCCATGGAAGATACTCTTCTCCACATACCTCCAAGCTACAAACTTCCATTTCCAACATTTTCATCAATTTTTCCAGTCCTCAGTTTCCTTTTATTTTACTCAATCCTCTCGTCTTCAAGACGTCTTAAGATTCAAACCCTGTTTTCAATTTCTTCTCGCTCCTTTTCTCTTCAAAACTTCAGGTTAACTTCCTTCTCTTCTTTTCTCTTCTCTTCTCTTCTCTTTCCTTTCTTTTCGTTGTTTGTTCGTAAATTTTCATGTTTAAGATCTTTGGGTTTTGTAAACTTATTTCTAGGTTCTGAATTTGAAGCCCCTGTTCTTGTTTTTCGTTTGTTTCTCAACCTTTTTAAAATCATCTATTTTCCTTTCCTTTTTTGCGGTTATTTTTTCAATTATTGAACCATTTTTCTGGGATTTGTTCATTTTTAAGTGATATTTGAGTTTTTCAAATTTCTTATTGATCCTAAATTTGCAACACCAGTTCCTGTTTGACCTCTGTTTAAACCCTAGAAAACCCTCTGTTTTTCTGGATATTGTTTTTACTTTTCTCGGGAATTAATTGATATCTTTGTTTTTTAAGAACTACCCAAACCTTTAAAATGGAAAAATATGATTTAAGAAGCTTCCCTGAGCTTATATCAGAGCTGGTAGCCTCAGTTGAAGAGGTATCATCGATTGCAAAAGACTCAGAAAAGGAACTTTTCATTGAATTTTCATCTCTTCTCAATAAACTTGGCTTGATTTTGAGTGATATAAAAAATAACGAAGATGTCATGGACACGGTTACGATCCGAAAAGTAATCAAATCCATCTGGAAAGAGCTTCAGCGTGTTAAGACCTTGATCAAAAGCACCGATTCGAAACAACCGATTTTATGGATCGACAATGTGATGCAAGATCTTGGGAGATCATTAGGCCTTGTGTTGTTTGCTAGCATTGATCTTCATTCGGAGATGAAAGAAAAGATTAGCGCATTGCATAAGGAATTCATGAATGTGAGGTTCAATGGAAGCTTTACCCCAAGTCCCAGTTCAGGTCCGAGCTCGAGAATGAGCCGGCCTCCTAGTCCATGCAATGAAGATGAGTTCGTCTCAGCCACTGCATCAGAGAAGGAAATCGAGGAAGAAATAACAGAAATTGAAGAGGAACGAGCGAATCTTTCGATCGACGATGTTGTCTTGCAACTTAAGTATGGCATTGATGAAGATTTTAACTTCGCGCTTTCCGGGTTCAACGAGTCGATTAAGCAAGGGTTGATCACCAATGATTGGATAAATGAGGAAGGCATTATTCTGGTTCTAGTTAATAGGTTGAGTTCATGTAAGCCGAACAACCGCTTGATTATTCTTCAGATATTGCGAAAACTTGCTTCCCAAGATTCCGGAAACAAGGTAAACTTTTCTTTTTGTTTCCATTGATGTTTTCATTTGAATTTTCGCCCTGGTAGTTTGTCTTAAATGTATGCTAGTTAACAGGAGAAGATGGTCGATGTGGCATCCTTATCGGCATTGGTGAAATCATTGACCCGAGACTCAGAAGAGAGGAGAGAAGCTGTAGGATTGTTGCTAGATCTGTCGGATCTTCCGGCAGTTTGGAGGCGGCTTGGCCGAATTCAAGGATGCATTGTTATGTTAGTTACTATGCTTAATGGCGACGATTCGATTGCTTCGAGCAATGCAAGGAAATTGTTAAATGCATTATCCAGCAATACACAGAATGCGCTTCATATGGCCGAGGCCGGCTACTTTAAGCCGTTAGTGCACTATTTGAAGGAAGGTAAATCGGAAATACACTTTGCTTGCTGCTTTTGATTGTCCACATCAGAATATTTAATAAATCCCGATATCTTGACAGGCTCCGACATGAGTAAGATCCTCATGGCGACTGCGCTGTCGAGAATGGAACTAACAGATCAAAGTAGGGCTACCCTCGGAGAAGACGGAGCTGTTGACCATCTAGTGAAGATGTTCAATGCTGGAAAGCTTGAAGCAAAATTATCAGCTTTGAATGCATTGCAAAATTTGTCAAATATGTCGGAAAATATACAGCGGTTGATCAATTCGGGTATAGTGATATCTCTACTTCAGCTACTTTTCTCCATCACATCGGTGCTCATGACTCTCCGGGAGCCGGCTTCAGCGATTCTTGCCCGAATAGCACAGTCGGAATCGATTCTTGTTAATCAAGATGTAGCACAGCAAATGTTGTCTCTTTTAAACCTCTCAAGTCCTATAATTCAATACCATCTTGTGCTAGCATTGAATAGCATTGCAGGCCATAGTAATGCATCAAAGGTTAGAAGAAAAATGAAGGAAAACGGTGCGATTCAGCTTCTTCTACCATTTCTAACCGAAAGCAACACGAAAATCAGGACTGGAGCGTTGGATTTGCTTTACACACTCTCGAGATATTTACCTGAAGAAATGACCGAACAGCTAGGAGAAAGCCACTTGAACATCATTGTTAACATCATATCATCATCACCATTGGAGACTGATAAGGCTGCTGCAGTTGGCATACTGAGCAACGTACCAATTAGCAATAAGAAAGTGACAGAAGTTCTTAAGAAAGCCAATTTGCTACCAGTTTTGATATCCATGATGAATTCGAGTCCTTCAACCGTATCGTCAACATCGAATTCATTAGCAGAAGCTGTTGCGGGCATACTTATCCGGTTCACGGTTCCATCGGACAAAAGACTACAGCTTCTCGCAGCACAGAACGAGGCAATCCCATTGCTGGTGAAGTTACTGTCGTCCGGATCATTGGTCGCCAAATGCCGAGCTGCGACCGCACTCTCGCAGCTATCCCAGAACTCAGTATCACTTCGGAAGTCAAAAAAATCGAGCTGGTTCTGCGTCTCTCCGTCGGCGACCGCAATCTGCGAAGTCCACGACCGGTACTGCATTGTTAAAAACACGTTCTGTTTGGTCAAAGCAGGAGCCATTCCGCCATTGGTGCAGATCTTGGAAGGCAAAGAAAGGGAAGCTGATGAAGCAGTTTTGAACGCGATGGCGACGCTTCTGCAAGACGAAATCTGGGAAAATGGAAGTGATTGCATTGCTAAAAACGGAGGCGTTGAAGCGATTATAAAGATGATGGAATCTGCGAGTGTAAAGGCTCAGGAAAAAGGGCTTTGGATATTGGAAAGAGTTTTCCAAGTGGAAGAACACAGAGTGAAGTATGGCGAATCTGCGCAAGTTGTGCTCATTGATTTAACTCAAAATGGTGACCCGAGGTTAAAATCAACCACTGCAAAATTGTTGGCTCAGCTTGAACTCTTACAAGTTCAGTCCAGTTACTTTTGAGACTATGATTTAAGGTTTTGTAAATGAATGGATTTTGGAGAACAAATTTGTATTCTATATTTATTTGTTGGTTTTATAATGGCTTGGACGAATTCTTTATTTATTTTTTCTAGATTTAGGTATGAAACTTTACGATATTAATCTGATTCAAATGCACAAAATAAAATAAATACATATGACTTTAGCGTTGAGTTGGATTCATCTTCTATCTTCATCATTTCATTCTAATTTGCTCTCTCCTTTTTTTTTTTAATTAATCACAGATATCTGATCTATTGACCGATTAATCCAGATCAAATATTGCAGAGGCAATGGCGACCCTCTCAACCCAATTTGCTCCATTTACAAACGTCAAGATTCGAACCCTTGATCTTGCTTAAAGAATCTAATTCCTCATCCTACTAGATCAACTTGTTGTTGGTAGTTTTTTTTTTTTATATATAGAGGGATAGATGGGTTATCAAGTACAATATTCCATACCACCAAATCGGTTATTTGAATAAATAGTACAATTATATTCTTCCAAAAAAAAATAGTTTGTACATTGAAATAGAAATGCTTAAATATAAAATAAGTGTCTAAACTATATTTTTTTACGAGTAGGTGCCTAAAGTATTTTTTGACTCATCTCGGCGTCTAAAGTTACAAACGTTACCACTTTAGGTGTTCGGGCCGTCAACATCGTTAATTTCACCCGTTAAATGATACGTTTCAGAATTTGGTAATTTTAATTTTTTTAAAAAAATTAAAAATTAAAAAATAAAATTATATATTTTAAAAAACATAAATTTTTTGAAAATAACCTCAAAACTTTAAAAACCTTCATTTCAACCCCTAAACTCACGTCAGTCATCACCCTTTGTCGTCGATGAAGCTTCACCCGACCTCACCTCCCCTGGCAACCAAAACCCCTATGAAATCGTGACCGATTGACAACGAATCAATGTTTTATACCCTACAAACCCTAGGATGAAAATGTGAGAACACGCAAATTCGATAGTCAATCAGCAGCAACTACTTCAACGTATGACAGGAGGATGACTAGGAAGATGGCAAGGACTATGTTGGTAGTGGTGGTCGTGGTCGAAAAGAGTGACAGCGATAGGTTAAGGTTAGAATTTGGGTATTTTAGGGTTTTGGGACTTTTTTATAATTTAAGAAAAATTTGTGTTTTTTATAAATATTATAATATTTTTAATATATTTTAAAAATAAAAATCGTCAGATTGTGACATGTGTTACTTAACAGAAGAAATTAACATCGTTGACGGCCCAGGACCTAAAATGGTAACGTTAGGCACCGGGATGAACAAAAAAATACTTTAGGCACTTATTCGTGAAAAACGGTATAATTTAGACACTTATTTTATATTTAAGCCAAATAAAAAAGTATTGTGATGTATTAAGAATCTTTAACATTGTACGAATCGAAAGGTCAAATCATCTTCAAGGTTGATGTAAAAATCGATAGAGAAGCCTTCAAATGAGTTAAATTATTGCATCAATTATTAGCTCTTTGATCAATCGAAATATATTCTAAGAGGGGAACTAACCTTTTAAAAACTTGTGTAAAAGCAATCTAAAGATAAAAAAATTACACAACAATTTTCAAATGGTTCAACTTCTAAACAAAGTTTATATCCATTGCTTTAGCATCCACACAAAAATTGTCTTGAATCAACTAAATTTGATAACATTTAAAGACAAAGAGTGCCTTATAAATACTCTAAGATTTATACACAAAGTCTTGATTACACTCTCAGAGAAATTACAAATTTATCAAATTAAAAAACATTCACAAGATAAATAAGTTTACAATAAATAAACTTTCGCTTAAATATCACTTGAATAATATGAATAATTTAAATCACAAGTATTTTACAAATAAATATGCAACACTTCATCAATATGAACAATTTAACTCACAAATAAATATTTAATAATTAAACTTTCAAAGACTATTTGATGTTAATATTAGCTTTCAACGATGCTTTTTGTTGTTCTTGAGATGTTGTGAGTTTATTTTTATACATTCTCTATTAATTTTAGTTGTTGAGAATGCAATAGAATCATTACCTACAAAAAAATAACACTTGTGAGGAGTCGATTTTTTTTTTGTAAAAGTGATTGATCTTTTCCTAAATGTTTGATTATTGTTAGAAAAGATATCAATCTTTTACCTCAAAGAATCAATCCCTTTTTTAAAGGGATCGATCATTTTAAACTTTCTTAGAAAGAGGATGATGAGCTAACGATTGTTGATCGATGTTTCTTTGTATGAGAGAAAAAGACATATTGAAAGTGAAAAGTTCACAGGAATCTTTAGATTCTATTCTCGATCGTGGTTGTGAGGTACTTATAATGGTCTTAAATGGTAGTGTAGACTGTAGATATAGGATCATCATGGTTACTCGTAGGCCAACATACTAAATAAATCTTATTATCAGACCTTGAATTTATCATGATAGATCATGTAAGCTTCTTAGAGGTTTTGTTTAAATATATAGTCTTTGCATTGAAGCTGGTTCAATGATTATGAAGTTCCTACATTCGGAGAAATATTCCTTGGCAGCTCTAGTTAACAGAGGAGTCTAAGGGTATAGGTTGAAAGAGAGTTAGTTGTTTCCAGAGGTGATCGTATAACATATACTCCTTCCGTCTTAATAATTTGTGCCTTATATTAACTATGCACATAGTTCTAGGAGATATATTTGATCAAATGAAATGAAAAAATTATCTCTAAAAGATGGTTGATAGATTTGATTTATTTATTTGATAGGTGTATAAGAGTGGAACATATAAGAGCAAAAAGGGAAATATAAATATTGTTTTTTGTTAATTTTTCTAATAAAACATTTTGAATGAGACAATTTTAGAAACCAAAATGAATACGTTTAGTAGGATGGAGAGTATTATTTTTGTCAAAATTAAAATAGCATCCTAAGTTGATTTGGTGGTTATGTGCCCAAGCAGATCTACTTGTATGAATACTTTCTTATGTTAGTCATCTATATTGATCAATGTTTTTAAAACCGGACCGGACATTGAACCGGTGAAGGTACTGGTTCACTGGTTCAATCGGGTTCAACCGCGGTTGAACCGGATTTTTATATAAAATAATATTTTTTTAATTTTACATAATATTCAAAGCAATATTAATATATATGTAACACTTTTTTTAAGTTTACAATATTAAAAGGTATAAAAATATCACAAGTCATAACATATATAAATTAAAAACCATAAAATCAAGTGAAACAAAATGATTCAAATCAACTACAACATATTATTTAAGGTCAAACATATTAAATAATAAATATAATTATATAACTATAATCAAAAAAATAAAATTGGAGCTTAAAAAAATCATAACAAATGATGTCATTTGGTTTAATTGTTTTAAAAAAAACAATCCCACATGGCTAAGAAACATAGAAGAGCATCCCAAAAGTTTAAAGAGTAAAAATATGAGAACAAAACAATCCCACATGGCTAAGAAACATAGAAGAGCATCCCAACTTACTTCTATAAATAATAGAGGTAATTTGACATTCAAAATCATAGAGCCTTTCGATGAGCACAGAGCGAACTATTCTTTCGCTTCAATTGAGCTCAAATTTTAGGCTTCAATCGAACTTCTAAATTTTTTTTTTGAGTTCGAGCCTTTTCGAGTTCAAGTTTTAATATTATATTTCGAGTTTGAGTTGAACTTGATAATTTTTGCTCGTGAGTTTTTTAGTCGAGTTGAGCTTACTTTTAAAGTTTTCGAGTTTGAGTCGAGCTCAGCAATACTCGAATTTGACTTGGCTCGTTGAACAAACGACGTCGTTTGGTTTAATTTTTTTTAAAAGAAAAAAAGTGAACCGGCGGTTCAAACCGGTTTTGCCGATTTTCAGCCGGTTCACCCCAGTTTTACCGGTTTTCAGCCGATTCTACCGGTTTTCAACCGGTTCTACCGGTTTTGTGAGGTAATTGGACCGGACAGGCCATCGGTTCACGGTTCAACCGGTTGAACTGACCGGTCTGGTCCGATTTTGATAACCATGATATTGATTGTTCCGGCCTTAGAATTTATGTGTCCATCCACTTATAAAAAACTGTAGCCCTAAAAAAACATTTCAGATATATCATCAATTAAGTGTTAATATTTGTTCTTTAATATCTTTGGTTTAATTGTTCTCACGTGTATTTTATATTTTTCTATAATAAAATGATGTTGTTTCATTTTTAACATCCACGTCACTGTTATTTTTAAACTAATGATCTAATAATATAAATTGAAACAATTGAAAATTTAATAATAAAATTAATATAAATTGTACAATACTTAGTATAGTTTACTTAAAAACTTATTCAAATAATATAAATATTTTATCTGTAACAAAAGCATAAAATTGTACTAAAATACAAGTTTCTTAGTTTTACTCTTCCTTACAAAACTATATTACTCATTCTTTCATAAAATTAATTATTTACACGTAAATTCATGTTGACTTTGACAATAGAACAAAGTAGGGATGAAATAGGGGTATTGGGAGTGGTCGTATCTCTTAAAAATTTTAAATTCTCTTGTATTTTAGAGTTTTTCTTTATATTATTCATTGATTATCTAATTTGTCACCCCTTAAAATTTTATAACTTTGCACCTTCTAAAATTATTAATATAACTTCTTAAGTTCATATTATTGACATAAATTTGTGTCTGTGAAGCAAGTATCCCAAAGCCATCAACAACATAAAGCAAAGAGATTGCAAATCAATTCAAAAGGCAAAATATACTATTTAGATGAAATAATTATTTTATTTTCTATATAAATTATTATAGGAAAGAAAAATAAAATTCATGGATGATACATAGAATATAATTTATTTTAGGATAAATTAAACTATTAATTTTTTTCACGTTTTAATAGTCAAATTTTAGTTTTTAAAAAAGTGTCTAATATTTACATTAGGTTTCATTTTGGTACCAAAAGTTAAAAACTTAATGATGATATTGACGTGTACTACAAAGTAATGTCATATCATTACTGAAAAAATTTAAAAAATACAGCGTCAGTAATTCTATTAATTGTAACAC